GGCAAAAAGGTGAAAACAGACCTGACTTGGTAGCCAGAGTTTTTAATATTAAGCTGAATGCTCTTTTAAATGCTATCTGTAAATTCCATTTATTTGGCAAAGTAATAGCTAAAATTTATGTCATTGAATTTCAGAAATGCTCATATATTATTGATATTAGATAGTGAGTCCAAATTACGTTCCTCTAATTAATTCCCTTTCAGTGTGCATGAATTTCATGCATCAGGCCAATAGTTCTGTTATAATTTCACAGAATGTTTATTTTACAGTATAAGCACTACTGCTCAGAAACTCTTTCAAGTAAATCTGTAGTTGGATATTACATGTTTCTTTAAGTAGACCAAAACAACAGTATATTATTGAACAATTTGGAGATAATCACCTATAAAAATATTTTTATAATACACGCTTATATATATTTATATTGGATTTAATCCACAGAACATTCAAAAGTTATGTGGTATGTAGAATAGTTTTTGATAGTCCATAGAATATATTTTAAGAATAATGTTACATTTTTCCTCTTGTCTCTATAAATAGGAGTTGTTTTTTTTTTTGTTTTTGGACCTTTTACCATTTTTTCATGTCTGGTTCAACTCATGTAAGTTTTTATGATTTATGTCAGCTTGTGTTGTCTTACCAGCAATCATGTCATTTCATTGATCAAGTAATGACTACATATCTAAAGATATAAAATTAACTAGTTTCAATAGTCTAACCACTAAACTGTACACCAAAATCAATACATAATATAAATAAGCAAATAATAATAAAAAAATAAAATGGAAAAAATAAAAGAAGTCTTCAAGGATAAATTAATTTGTGTTTTAAGCAGCCAAATTTTATGTCTGATAATGCCCAAAAAGAACTTTTACTCTTTATTGTCTTTGTGTGTTAGTGTCTTTCATAGTTAGGATTTAGGGTTAATAAAAGTGATACTGTGGTGGGAAGATAATTATATGATACTGGTTATTTTTTTATCACTTAGTAAATTGTGGTTTGAAGTTTTTCTGTTATGCGATATGTGTTTATTAAATATTATAAGTTAATTACTATTCTACTGTTTTGTCTGTAGGCTGTTATTACACCTAGAATAAAGTGTAAAACCTTTTTTTATGTGTAGTATATGCACTGATTTCTAACTGTTTTGGCTACCATTTTTGTTTTCATCAAAATAGGGCAAGTCTCTTTTTTTTTAATGAGTTTGGATTTATCTTTAGGGTGTGTAGGAAAATGCTGTTATGTTAAAGTTACAAACCCTTGTGTATATTATCTATTATATTTTATTTTTTTAAAAAATATATTTTTATTGATTTTTTACAGAGAGGAAGGGAGAGAGATAGTTAGAAACATCGATGAGAGAGAAACATCGATCAGCTGCCTCCTGCACACTCCCCACTGGGCATGCAACCCAGGTACATGCCCTTGACCGGAATCGAACCCGGGACCTTTCAGTCCGCAGGCCAACGCTCTATCCACTGAGCCAAACCAGTTTCGGCTATTATCTATTTTAAACTGTCTTTTACCCTGTGAATTTCACACAGTAAAAGTATGTAGCACACTATCAAAGTTTAAAATAACAGATTTTCTTTGTATATTTTAAAATCTTAGTTACTCCTTATATGTACTACATCGCTATTCTTCAGTGAAATAGGTATTCTATAATGTCTTGTCATTGTGGTGCTACATTAGAACTTGTCACATCCTCTCCTTAGTGGATAAGTGATTATTTGCAAAACTGATTCTTTGTTAAAACAAAGATAAAGTTAGAAATAATTTGTATTATAATAATTATCTCATTCAGTTTTTAAAAAAATAACAGTAATTTCTATGTATTTATGTACTTTTTAGAAAGAATCTTCAAGGGGGAGACATAGAGAAAAGGAAGACATAAAAATCACCAAGGAGAGAACTCCAGAAAGTGAAGAAGAAAATGTAGAGTGGGAGACTAATAGAGATGGTAAGTTTCAAAAATCTTTGTTTATGTAGTCAAATTATTGATTATTCACTTTGCGGACACTTTTTGTGGGCTTCAGCCGTGCCCATCATAGATGAGTAGGTTCAAAACACTTTTCAACTGTGATCTCCCTGTCAGTAAAAAATGGCATATAGTAGCAGAACAAAGGCAGAAAAAGCTGTTTACACTGCATTTTTCAACTTCACTATCCTTTTTTTCTTCCTAGAATTTTATTGTGCACCATCACAATTCTTTGGAATTTTTTTGCATTTTTAGATTTTTCAGTTCCTCAAATCAGTTTAAAAAAATTAAATCTAAATTTATGCTTGTTGTCTTTTGTAAAATATTAAAAGATTACAAAATTTTAAAGACTTGGGGAAATTATTTAAAAGGTATTGTTGACTTTCATTTTTCAAAAGAGATTTAAATCCAATAATAATTAAAACCTGGGATTTTTTCATGAAAAATTAGCAAAATCATCTTGGGTCATTGTCTTAACAAATAAGGATTTATTTTCCATACCACAAATGTTCACTTTTATGATCTTCAAGGTGAGCACTATAGCCGCACATTACCAAATATAGAGAATGGGAACTCATTTGTTGAATGTGTTAGGTGTGCTAGGCATTTTAATATAATTTATATAATTATCTCGCTAATTCAGTAGCTTTGCTATTTCTTATACATAACATAGCTAAAGAGTTTAAGAACTTAAGCAACTTCTCAGCAGTAAGCTGAAAACTTAGACCAGGGGTTATAAAATTAAAGGTTGTGGAACAGGCACTTCTTTACAAAAAAAGCTTTGTTGGAACACAGCCATATTCATTTGTTTACATATTTTTCTGTAGCTGTTTTTGAGCTACCATAGGTGAGTTGAATCCTTGTTGAAAGTCAAGAGGCTGCAAGCCTAAAATAGTTACGCCTATTATTAAGAACAATCTCTGAAAACGTACATAATCTAATACTTGAATTGTACCCTAAATGCCTCTCCAGTAATTTGACCATCATACTTTTTAAGGGAATTTATTCCATCTTTAAACAGCATTGTCTGTTGAAGAGTGCTTCTGAGAACAAATAGGAAACTTTCTTATGATTAGTTCATTGGGATTTCATAAGCCAATCTAATACCGCTTATACAGGGTGTCCCCCCAAAATGTATACACCCTTTAACAGCTGATAGCTCAATTTTGAAAATGAAATGTATTTTAATAAACACTCCCTTTGTAATTATTCAGAGTGTGTGAATACATTTTGGGGGGACACCCTGTAGTTGTAAAGGCAGCTGTAATGTTCCATTGTGGTTGGATCAATTAGTTAATATACTGAAATAAAATACTAGAAACCTTGACTCTTCAAAAATTAGATAACTAACTTTTCTGGAATAGTAAGGAATTAACTCTTAACATAGCCAACATTCTTTTCTTTTTATTTTAATTGCTTTTGGATTAAAATTTTTCTGAAATTTCCTGGGAACCTCCTATCTTTAAAAGTAAAAATTTCTCTATTATAATAATGCATGCATTTTATTGAAAATTTAAATGTTTAGAAACACCTGTCATTTTCTCCATGTTTTCATACCTATTTCAAAAACCTTTCCTTAAATTTCTAATCCCTTTATTTGTCCTGCTTGCTCTTTACTACACAGAGGTGATAGAACCCTTCATCCACAAGCTCCCTCAACTTCCTGCCAATAATCACTTACAAACTAGTTTTTATGTACACCTACACTTTTTTATTTCCCTTTCGTTCTGTGGAAGAGGCCTCCCCCATGCTGTATAAGGTTATATTACCCTGTATTCTGGATCCAAATTCCTCCCACCTTTACAATCCTGTTTATTTAATACTAGAATCCTGATGCACGGAAAATGTGCATGGGTAGGGTCCCTAGGCCTGGCTGGTGATCAGGGCTAATCTGCGGGGCAACCGAAAGGGCAATAGGGGGGCCCCCCGCTGGCCTGGGGCCTGCGGGCTGGGGGCAGCTCCTGCATTGAGTGTCTGCCCCCTGGTGGTCAGTGCGGGTCATAGTGACCGGTCAGTTCCGCTGTTCAGTTGATTTGCATATTAGGCTTTTATTATATAGGATACATTTTCTTTTATATCTTTTAGCATGCATCTTATCACATTTTTTCCTCTCCCCATGATACTTTTAGCCATCACCCTGTTTGTTCCCACTTTTTAAGTAAATTCTTGAAAGGGTTCTATTCCATACTGTCTCTACTTTTTCATCACATATTTATTCATCTTCTGACCCATGTCTTCACTACAATTGTTTTTCAAGGTCCCCAATAACCCCCTCTTTGCTAAATAAGTTGAGACATTCTTATCTCCATCTCTTATAACCTTTGTGCAGCACATAACACATTCAAGAACCTGTCTTCCTAAAGTACTTTTCCCCTTGGCTTCCATCTGTCGCTCATCAGATTTTCTGTCTTTCTGTTCAGGCTCTTCGTTTTTATACAGACTCCTTATAGTCTGTCTCTTCCTTAACTGTTGATTGCCAATGCTTTGTTCTAGACTTTCATCTTAAAAAAAAAAAAATACTAAAGTGACTTTATTACAAGAATCTTTTATATATTCAGTTATTTTAAAAGATGAGTAAATGTTTTTTATGGTGGTTTCACTTACCAGGTATTCACGTGGCTATGTTTTCTCTTGATTGAAACTGGCAGGTTTTAGAAATAGTTGTATATCTATGATTTACAATTATCTGTTTGAAGAAACATTGAATCATGGATTTAGACATTCACTTCTGTCCCCAGATAGTGATACTGAACTGGTTTTATAGACTTACCTTCTGCATTTTCAAAGTGAATAGCAGCTTTAGCTAAATGTAAAAGAAATTGGTCTGTACTAATATGTCTAAAAATTTATATTCTTTTTAAGGACCCCATATTAGAAATTGAATCTGAGAAATTTTTTAAATATTTACTCATTAATTCATTTTACAATAACAGTACTAAACCCAACATAAAATTATATGGAAAATAACTATGGTTTGCAAAACAAAAATAAAAATTGTGAGGTGGTGGCATGTTTTACATGTTTTTCCAAATCTTTTTAATGATCAGTCAAGAAGCCGGAAGAACTAAACTCTGTGCTTGCCTTTTCTTATGACCACATCAGCACTATAGCTAAATTATAGAACAGTCAGTCTGGATAACCATCTGAAGACTAGTTGAATAGTGGTCCTATAACTAAAGCTATAGCCCTAACCGATTTGGCTCAGTGGATAGAGCGTCAGCCTGCGGACTCAAGGGTCCCAGGTTCGGTTCTGGTCAAGGGCCTGTACCTTGGTTGCGGGCACATCCCCAGTAGGGAGAGTGCAGGAGGCAGCTGATCGATGTTTCTCTCTCATCGATGTTTCTAACTATCTCTCTCCCTTCCTCTCTGTAAAAAAATCAATAAAATATATTTTAAAAAATAAAATAAAGTTATAAAGAAGCCATATCAAGACTGGTAGCGGGGCAGAGATGCAAAACGGGTTGGCCCCACACCCAGAGGTGATTTAGAATTGGGAGGGATATCTCAGTTGCAGAGGGAGCCCATACATGCACCACCAGAGACTCTTTTAGAGTGGGCTGTGCCACACCAGCATGGCCAAGGGTGAACCTGAGGAGGGGCGGTGAAGGAATGAAGAAAAGACAGACAAGAGAATACAGCTGGGGCTCGGTGGATCTCCCCTGCCTGGATGAGGACACAAAAGACCCAGCCTGCAAGCCGATGCTTTATTTTATAGACTGATTAAAACAAGGGTAGATTAACATGTATACAAATGTTCTTGTTTTGGGAACACTTGCTGCACCTCCCACAACCCATTAGCTACTTAGGAAGGAATTAGGGAGGGCTACAAGGTCAGGCTCAGTTATGCTAGGAGAGCTCTGCCCTCCAGGTTGGGACTTGTTTGTGGCCCTGCCACAGGTCAGCCAACTCTTGGAAGTCCATAGGTGCCAGGCAGGCAGCAACTATGCCCTGTCCCTCTTGCTGAGTGGCCCAAGGGTTGGCACTTGTAGAAAATCTGAATTTGTATTAACCTGGTGAATACTATTCCCCCCATTCTGCTGACTTTCAGAGACTCTGCTTCACCCAACTTGTTTATATCCCACAGCTCTTTCAGTGACTGAGCCTTATGGGCAGCTGTCAGGTGGCAGCTGGCCTCAGGGTATCCTGTGCATTTTTCTCTGGCCCCACACCTAGTACTGGTGCCATCAGCCTTAATTAGCATCATGGCCTCTCCCACATGTCTCCAGGCCCAGCACAGGCAGCTGCCAACTATAAATCATTTTGTATGTTCTACCAGGTAACCCAAGGTTATCATAGGGAGCAGCTGGCCTTGGCCTACACCAGAAACCTACCCAAGAGGCCCCAGAACCAATACACCTGGTGGCTAATTTGAGACCATACTAGAGTACCACCTAATTAACTCTTCAAGCAGCACACACAACGGGTGGTCTTGGCAGGCACCAGAGCCCTGCTGGGGTGAATCCTGTTCCATGGGGAGAGCCACCACAGAGCAGTTTGTACTCTGTGGTTGTAGTTAGTCCTCACAACCAGTTAGCTTAAGGGTCAACCCTACTCCCTGATGTGCCAACAGTAGTCAAGTTTCAACTACAATATGGGGGCACATTACAACTCATACAAGGGATGCTCCTGGAGCATCCAGCTCAGGTGATCAGGGTGACTGCACCACTGGGCCTCCTGGGTCACCTATTACATAAGACCACCCTGCCAAGACTGAGAGACATAGCAGTTCTCCCTAAGTACATAGAAGCAAACATAGAGAGGAAGCCAAAATGAGGATACAAAGAAATATGCCCTAAATGAAAGAACAAGAGAAATCCCCAGAAAAATAATTATATGGAATGGAAGCAACAAAATACCAGATGCAGAGTTAAAAAAAATAGTTATAAGGCTGCTCAGGGACTTTAGGGGAAGAATGGATGATCTCAGTGTAAACTTAAACAGAGATAGTAAGCATTTAAAAGGACACAGAAACCATAAAAAAA